GAACCTGCTTTCTCGCTAGAAACGTAAGAGCATCTGCGAATGACACAACTTCCAAAGCTAATTCAACTCTCTACGTTAAAGAATGCCTCTCAGACAATTAATTGAAACGCTGGTACTGATCAATCATACTGACTACTATAGTGACAAAATTGCTAGCTATGTGCATAAATAAACCAAATTTTTAAAGTGCAGACTAATGAATACCAGATGGCGTAAAAGGTTCGATGGATGTTGAATAAAATTCATGTCGAAGAGAAACAGTTTATTCCCCGATGCCAAGCAGAATAGTTCCGTCGCGCACTTTCTCCGTTGCTGAACGTATGTGTATTAGATGATAGTGAATATTTCACTCTACGGTAGATAGGAAACAAGGAATAATCTCACTCACTATCAAATGCTGCGACTGCTAAGCATTGTATACTATGCAGCTGTCGTTTTTAGTTCTTATGAACTTCGCAGTCGCAGTACTTATGAACTTCGCAGAACTTATCAACCTGCCGATCTCAAGCCCGGATGAGAAATGAGGAAGGTTAGAGACCGTTGAGAAATCTCTCGTACAACTAACCATCAGCCCCTCATGACACTGCTGTTATCGAACCGTTATGCTGGCTCTCTCATCGCTCGGGTTAGCATGGGACGGGCAAGATGTTCAACAAAAGGACGACGAAGATACTAGTGAGAAAAAGAGCTGCTTCCCGCTCTGAACGGAAGGCAGAAGCGTGATGCCGTTATAGGCGTCAGATAAAGATGTAAGGGAGCCATACCGCCAATGGAAGCTCACATTCGGAAATCTGGACATCTCTTCACACGGAAATAAACGGGACCTCGTTCATGAGGCCACAGGTACCGAATGGTTGTAGTTAGGTTCTCGCTAACGCAGCGTCAAGGCTATGGAATTCTGAATTTCTGCTGGTGGAAGCTATTTTGTCAGGTGTCGAACATCACTGCATGTGTTCAGGCCAGTGCTTGTGTTTTAGTGCAACATAACATAGCTGAATGGAAGCCTCTCACTGGATGAGTGACAGTCCTTTAACTGAGGCTACAGTCGTTGAAGTTTTGACCTTTCTACGGGTTTGCATGCTCATTTCGTAGGGAAAACTTCTAAACTTTGAAGCACTACCTAAGGTAGGGAGCGATGGATAAGTAATGCCGATTTACATTTTGACATGCGGGATTCAAATTCCAGAGTGGAGTAAAATTTTTACTGATTATCATTTCCTTAAGTAAGGAAATTACTGTCAATAAGAATACGCAGTGTCTGCTACAAAATCCATCATTCTGATGAGAGATACTAAAACAATGACTGCAGTTTTCCACAGATTTTGCTGCAGCATGTTATATGTAATTTGAGTCTTTCTGATTCTTTCCTGGACAACAGCTGCACAGCTCCCATCACTACTGATCATCAATCCACGACGGTAGAACTTGGTGACGTACCGCACATCTTTCATCTAAATTTTCATGGTGCTGACATTTTTTGGAGCATGTCATGCAACAACTACTTTGCATTTCGATGGTTCAGTCTCAACCCTACTTGGCGCTGGGTTCTTTTACTGTTTCCAACGCCTTCTTATGTTCTTCTGCAATGTCCTCTGCATAATCCACATCTTGTAGCCAGCGTCCTGATGGTTGATATATCACTTCGCTATCATAGTTTGTATCTGCTTCTGTCATCACGGCATCAGTGCAACAGTTGAATGATATTTGTCCGGGGCCGACCCTTGCCTTATTCCGATATCAATCGAAAAGTTGTCTGAAACCGCTAAACGTGATCATACAACCGCCATTGTCCTGTTATTAATGTTTTTCAAGATGTTAAAAACTGGCTGACACACCGTTATTTCTTAGCAACTCGTACAAGGTTCCGCGATCTGGAGAATCGAAAGCTGTCTCATAGTCGATGAACTCAATAGTCAGCGGATTGTGGTATCGATTGTATGTTTTCAGCAAGAGCCGCAATGTTATAATATGGTCAATCAATCCAGACGGATGTTACATTGTTCTTCTCTAGTAGTATTCTCTCTGTAGGGTCGAATTCTGTTTATGATCATGCATTCTGTGACTTCCGGCGCCTCGCAGAAGAGATTGATTCCCTTTTATATTCGAACATTCAATACAGTGCATTTTTTGTGTATCGGAGTTATCACTGCTTGGCGCCACGCTTCTGACATTGTCTCTATTCGCCAAATCTCAGGAATGATGTTCGGCAATACCTGCAATCCCGTATTAGGCATATGCCTGGGCAGTTATAGTTCATTTTGTTCTGAACGCTTTCGATATGTTTATGCAGCTCAATTATGGCCTAATTAGTCTCCATTCTTCTACAACTCCTTCTCAGACGCACTGCGACTCCTCAGCCACATACGCTTTCCTCGTCCTTCGATTCAAATAATAGATTAGACGTCTGGCCATCTGGATGGCCAATTTTTGGATTTAATCGTGTTCCGTTTCATTTCATCGCGTTTCTTGGAGGCATGCAGTCGGTTTATTTAGATTTTTAATGTTCGGGTGACAGCAGCTTGCCTATTTTCACCTTTCAAGGACTGATAGTTTGAGATGACGATATTCAGTTTCTCCTGTAGTCGAAGCAATTTGTGCGGTAGCCCTGAGAAGATTCTTTAGGTTTGGACAAGACAAGTAGACTGCTGACAGTGTTTGCGCGTCTGAAAATGGTGTCCAGTCGTTTGCCCTAAGTGTTTGCTGATATCCGATCTTTGGCATCATATCTTATTGGATATTTTATCACAATATGAATCGAAGAGGTACCACGTGGAGGCAGTCAGAGTCAAACACCAGAAAAAGGAGACAAAACTGTTATAAACAGTCTGCCAATAGCCTTAGCTACGAGACCGTGTTGCAGTCCTTTATATCTCGCGATTGCTGTAATGCTTCTCATCGTGAGCGCAAAATCACTTCATGTTAAGGCCCTAAAATATATTTGGAGGAGGGTAAATGATTTTCGTTATACAGCACTATATACGTCGCCAGTGAAATCACACGAGGCTCCAAGCACGCATAAACGGGACACTAGAAATTAGCTTTCCTTACCTTTTTGACTACCATGTTATCATACCATGTTGACCTATTACTGGCGACTGCACCAAGGTAGTTAACATTTTTAACCGTGGTGACCGGGTCTGGATTAGATTAGTTACTTCTTTGGTATGGTTGACGAAATTGTTGTTCCGCGTGTTTATAGATTTTTTGGCAGCTTTTGTGAGTTTGAGTTAAAGCGTTATAGCGCACGAACTGTTTCCGCTCAGATTGATGCGCTGCAGTAGTCCGTAGAACGTAACAGTTAATCAGAAAGGAAGGAAAGTGACTTATTCTTTAGGACTCTCCCAACCGCCGATGAAAAGTCAAGAAACATGCTCTTAATTATTTTTCCTATGCCAATTCTACAGCTATGAGCTGCAAAAACCATCAGGTGCATCGATTATACTTCAACCGTACTGAAACCATATTTTAAGGGATTTTGAAATAGCTCGAACGAAACAGTGGTAGTAGCAAAAAAATGTTCGAACCCTTTCAAAGCAGTGAAAATAACCGTAATTGGTGTAGTCTTCTGCTGTAGCTGGGTTGCTTTTCTTCAGAAATGCAGTCATCCTCGACGTACGCCAAGAATTTTGAACAGCAGCACGCACTGGTTAAAGATTTTCAAGCATTGGCTAAAGATGAAGTTAAGTGAAGACACTGTTTAGCCATATCGAGCAGCACTTCAATATAGGCTGTGACGCACCATCGTTCCCAGCTACTGATGATGAGCGTAGTCCTCGAAAGCAACGTACAGTGGAAATATTAGATTCTCATCTCCGAGGAGAATTTCTTAGTTGAAGGAAGAATCTTTATATATCATTTGCTGGAAGGCAATATAGAGAGATGTTGAGCTTATACCTTCAAGCGGATTTAATTTCATTCATAGGTGCTGAGACTTAGAGTTCCTGATAATTACATTCATTTGCCAATCATTTAATCGTTTACCTCTACAGTAGTTTCCGCTTTTACCATTTTGCACTTAGTTCGCTCTCGTCTGTATGAATACCCTTCTTTATTACGTCAGGTATGTTTAGAAACTAGGGCAGTAATTCCCAAAGATGAGCTCGACGTTGTCAGAAACTGCGGACGCAGCTCATTTATGTTATCAGTGTA